GGGCAATAACAGCGCCTGCAAGATTGGGGCAACGTTTCTGGGTGTTGTTGCATGCCTGTGCAGTGACATGCATTCCCCAGGCACCAAGCACATGCAGCAAAGGGCAATAACAGCGCCTGCAAGATTGGGGCAACGTTTCTGGGTGTTGTAGCATGCCTGTGCAGTGACATGCATTCCCCAGGCACCAAGCACATGCAGCAAAGGGCAATAACAGCGCCTGCAAGATTGGGGCAACGTTTCTGGGTGTTGTTGCATGCCTGTGCAGTGACATGCATTCCCCAGGCACCAAGCACATGCAGCAAAAGGCAATAACAGCGCCTGCAAGATTGGGGCAACGTTTCTGGGTGTTGTTGCATGCCTGTGCAGTGACATGCATTCCCCAGGCACCAAGCACATGCAGCAAAGGGCAATAACAGCGCCTGCAAGATTGGGGCAACGTTTCTGGGTGTTGTTGCATGCCTGTGCAGTGACATGCATTCCCCAGGCACCAAGCACATGCAGCAAAAGGCAATAACAGCGCCTGCAAGATTGGGGCAACGTTTCTGGGTGTTGTTGCATGCCTGTGCAGTGACATGCATTCTCCCTAGCAAACACTACAACTCAACATCCCAACGATGGCGCTTGTAATGTGGCAAAACAGAAATGCAGCTCGGTCTGGTTGAACTGGCATTTCGACATTTTTGCCTTAAATTGGTGCTCTCTTAGCAAGGACAACACGGTACGGATGTGTTGTTCATGCTCGGCGGGGGTCTTACTGAAGACCAAAATATCGTCCAAGTACACTAGCACGAATTTGCCAATGTACGCAGCAAATATACGGTTCATTACTGCTTGGAACGTTGCAGGAGCATTGGTTAGTCCAAAGCATAGGACTTTGAATTGATACTGGCCGAGCCCCGGTGCTATGAAGGCCGTTTTCTCAATATCTTCTTTCGAGATGCGAATTTGGTTATACCCCTGCTGCAGATCCAGGGAGCTGAAAAAATCATGGACTGTGAGGAGCCAATACTGTTCAGTTGAACCTCTTTAGCTGGCGGGTCATACCAAAGCTGGATAGGCCACGGAATACCGGGCATTTCCTGACGACTACCATCGTCTGCTTTCTTTAAGAACAGTTTCGTCCCTACGGCATATGTTTTTAGCAGCTGGTGTCCTGCCGCTCGCATGCGTCTTTCAATTTGAGACCATTTCGGTACTACAAAAACCGCTGAAGTGGTTTCGGGACGCATACGCTTGCAGCGCAGGTAATGCTTATGCCAAAGCTCAATTTTTGTGTATGGGGGATTTGCCCAGACAAACTCGCCAGAGACATCGGAGGTCAAGAACGAATTTGAAGGGGAGGCAAAGCGTGTACAAAGACTATTGTCGCCAGAGTTGTTACAAGCAGCGTCAAAGGTGAACTGCCGTCCCAACATGTTCTCCACGTTACGAAACTCGTCCGGGAGGAACATGTGATCACAGCTAAGCGGATCACAAACGGACAACAAGGACTCTCTGATTTGCAAGCTAGCCGAGTCCTTAGGACATTCCGGTTGCTCACAGCCCCCAACAACACGCTTGCCGACCCGCTAATCAGCCATGGCATTCTCCATCTTCGCGGCAAGGGACAGCGTCTTCTCGGTGTTAGCCTTGAGGTGTCGAATGCAGTCGGGCTTGTGCTCCGCCCAGCTCTGGTGGGCGGGCTTCACGCGACGGCATTTGCGGCAAGTGTGTGCCATCAGCTGTTCTTGCTCCAGACGCGCCTTCTTGGGCCGATTGGCGGGTTGCCAACCCTGCGAATTGCAATCAGAGGACGAACGCTTAAATTTATTGAAGGGCTTTTTAGCAGTGATCACATTAAGGTCAGCGCTAACTGCATGGACGGTAGGCTTGTCTTTGCCCGACTGCCACCGAACCTCTTGCCCAACAGCGTAAAGGATTAGCTTATCTAAGCTGTCCCAATCTTTGCCCTCTTCGCTTGTCGCACACCGGCTGCACAAAGGTGGTAGTAACCCCTTAACGTACCAGCCGATTTGATCGCTAGGGTTCATATCTTTCGCTTCACGAATTATATCGTGAAAACGTTGAGTATATTCGGGCACTGTTTCAGTTGCTTTCATGGCGTGTTCGTTCGCATGCAACCTATCGCGGGCGGCCATAGCCGTGTTGCGTTGTGTAACGCCGTATTGCAACAAAAAGGCAGCACGTAAAGAATCACGCGTCAAAAGCTTCTTGCCCGATCGGTGCTCCCCGAAAATGTCCGTGGCCCAGACTAGAGCTTTGCCTGATGCGAAGTAGACAAAGTGCTCTAACGGGTCCATTTGCATTAAGTCTAAGTATTGCAAAAGGAACTCGAACCACGATCGGGTGCAAGTAATATGCGTATCCCTTTTTCCCGAAAATTTTGGGGGAAGTGGAACGCGTTTCTGCGTACTCACCTCGGTACACGGCGTTTTGCCCGTGGGCTGTAGCACAGGCCGCGTGGAGTCGGAGTCTGTAGCGCTACCGCCAGGGCCGCTCTCCACCGCACCGGTGTCCCAAAGTTTCCGGACCTCCTCCAGGGTGACCTCCGGCTCTATCGTCAGGGAGTCCAGGGCCGCCTGAAAAGCGGTGACCTGGAGGCTCTCTTTTGACAGGATGCCGGCCAGGGAAGATGAAGCCACTTGCTGGATTATCTTGCAAATGGCCACGGACCGTGGATTGGGAGGTGGTGGGCTTGAGGGCGTTGACAGCTTGGAGAGTAACTCCTGGAGTTGCGTCTCCACACGCTGTGAAGAATTTCGTAACGATATAATGTCGTCACGGAGTTCTGCCATCTCCTGGTGTGTTCCTTCCAGAGAACACTCCAAGGTGCTGACGCGGTTCGGCACTGACTGTCGCAAAGTTTCAACCAAATGCGCTGGCAAAGTGCCAGGCGCTTTGGCTTTGGGAACTTCTGTCGTCGCGTCAACCGCATCATTGCCAGTAGTGTCGAGGGCAGTCGCCACGTTATCAGTTGGCGTCATCGTGTCCTGAAGGTCATTATCAACAGGAACAGAGGAAAGGTATTTACGAAGCGAAGCGAAGGATTGTTTCCTTAATTTGCGCTTGTTAATTTTCGCAACACGAAGTGGGTCCGAAGCGGTTGTAGCATCGGCAGGAATTTGCGCCGTAGTCTTAGACTTCGGTCGCGGAATAGGAACGTGCTTAGCATCGCTCAAAGAAACAGCCTTAGTCTTAGCTATAGGCTTAGGAACCATTTCCAGAAAGTCGAGTCTAAGACTCAGACAATGGGTGAGTAACTGCTGCGGCGCAATGTGAGGCGAGGACCGAACAAATGATCGTCGATACCAAAATGTAACAGCCGTCTCTTACCTTAGCTGTGTTAGCGGAAGCGGAGGATCTCGTCCACGATTGGCGACCCAGCGTTAGGCGCGAGAAGAGACAACGGAAGTCGAGAACGGTGACAGCAAGGTCTTGAACCCTGAACACTAGTATAGTGATACACAAGTGCCTGGCCGAAGCACTTCACCTGGGTGGCTTAAATGCGGCCCACCTGCCGCCATCTCCATTCCTGGAGTCTTGGTGTCGTACGCTAGGTTGTGATAGCGTACCAGAAAGTGAGTTCGTACAGTTAACGAGTATGGTTCGTAAATACGGGACCGTACCGTTACTGTGATTAAGACTTAATAGCTTAAAGATATTCTAAGGTAAATGTAGCTTGCTACACCTTTGCTTGCACAAAAGTGTCGCTTCGCCAAACGCTTCCTCTTCCCGCGGCCGTTTTATGAGCCCAGTCCTGCAAGCTACGTTGCATGCTTTCAGTTCTTTTTCAGCTCAGGCTAAGCAGCCAGCCGAATGTCCCAGATGCATGCCGCGTGTGACTGTGGCCAACATGCCCTGCTGCGCAACGCGCAGGCACACCGCGGCCTTTCGCCGAGAAAATTACATACACTTGTACAGGCGCATTTTGAGAATCGCACGCGCGCATCCGCGCGGTAAAATTCGCGCCTGGCTTTGTGGGCGTCTTGTACGGATGTTTTATTCGGCACTGTACGACCGGACACATTTGTGCGAGGGGCTGCTTGTTCAGGCTGGTTTAGCCCTAATCTTTAACCGAAGCCACAATTGTATGGCATTATTAGAGGTCGGCAAATAAGTCGGCTCATGAGCCTCTTGGCCCGCTTGGACCGTACAAGCTCAAGAAGCTTGTAATCGAAAACGTCAAAACATCATCCTGAAAACCAAGCTGCTTGAGAAATTCAACACGTCATTATAATTAAATACATAATAACTCAAAGTTTCATTGATTTAATTAGTAATGCTTGGGAGTGGAGAGCTCTTGGGTTTCCCCAGGCCGATGCACCTCCCTCCCGCCCGCCATCATGCGTGCGTATGTATGCTTGTCTGAAGCGATTGTTCCAAGCAGGCCAGGTCGCGATAAAGTCGATGAGGTGGCGTGTATGCATACATACGTACATATCTATTTATCTGAAAGCCTGCAATGGCAAGTCGGCTGTATAGCGAGGGAATGGACATGAAGCAGCAAAGGCCGCTGGCGGAGCACCTACCGCATACAGGTGGTCCGTAGATATGTAGGAAGAGGACAAGTAGTAGCGGACGCGGGTGTGGCTGGTGGTGGGGAGGCTGCTCGTGGGCTCTAACAGGGTGTCTCCACGTGGACGTTTGTTAGCGACCCTTTTAAAAATTCTCACCCTGGACGTCAGGTTTGCACGTTCTGTTTCGCAATATGACATATTCTATATAAGTAAATGATAGAAATGCAAAAGGTTTGACGGAAGGCGGAGGGATGGCGAAGAACGGGGGGCCCACGTGGAGACACGGCCCTTGTTAAACGTCCAATAAGTCCGCAAAATTTATAGGCTGCCCCGGACCAGCTTTAAGCATTGTTAACTTTGTTAACTTTGAGCGCGGAAAATCTCGTGACTTCTTTTTAAATTATAATATCACCGGGTCTTTCCTTTGCTTTCCGTCTACTACCTTGACTGCTTGCCGACTTACGCCGTTGCCGTTGACCAAGAATGTCACAGAACCAGTCGCCCTCGCCGGTTCCGTCTCAGAACTATCCTACTTCATTACACAATGCCTTAATGGCAACCATTCAACAGCCAATGCTGAGTCCGCTGCCCAGACTGTTTAGCCTTGCGGACGTCCATGCTGCTACCCAGGCCGCTCAGCAGCAGGAAATGGCTCAACGCCTTCATGGCCAGGGCTTAGGAATGGAATGGTCACAAACTCCGCTATCCCAGGTCAATGCGTTGCTTGCTTGCAATATTGTTGTTTCCATCTCGCGCGCCTTTTTCAAACTGACCATGTACGCCGCTCTCCCCTTTCCTGCACCCCCTCCTTCTCCAGGTGCCCTTCGGCCACGCTGGTTTTAACGCATTTAACTCACAGCCCGGCATCTTCAATGCCCAGCCGGGCGTGCAGCTTACCCCTGGCCACCTGTCGCCGACGTTCATGGGCGTCGGCCCCCCGACATCCTCAAAGGCATACACGAAGGCGGCCAAGGCCAAGGCCTCCATGCCCAGCGCGGCGGGGCCCCCACCATGGACGGCCCGGAGGCGCTCGACGTCGACCCATCCCCTGAGGCTGATGCGGGTGGCGACAAGACGCGGTCGCGCGAGCCGGTACGTTTGGCCTCTTCCTAGTTCATGGGCGCCCATGCAACTCCTTTCCATGCCGACCGCCATGCGGTCCCTTCTCTGTGGGCCCCAGCTCCACGGATGTCACACTGACCATGTACACCGCTCTCCCCTTTCCTGCACCCCCTCCTTCTCCAGGTGCCCTTCGGCCACGCTGGTTTTAATGTGTTTAACTCACAGCCCGGCATCTTCAATGCCCAGCCAGGCGTGCAGCTTCCCCCCGGCCAGCTGTCGCCGACGTTCGTCATGGGCGTCGCCCCCCCTCCAACCTCTAAGGCACCCAAGAAAGCGTCCAAGGCCAAAGGCGCCAAGGCCTCCAGGCCCAGTGCGGCGGTTCCCCCCGCCATGGACGGCCCGGAGGCGCTCGATGTCGACCCATCCCCTGAGGCGGCTGCGGGTGGTGACAAGACACGGTCGCGAGACTCGGTACGTTTGGCCTCTTCCTATTTCATGGGCGCCCATGCTTTACCTTCCATGCCATGTCTTCCCTCTGTCTACCGACACCCTTCCCGCGTGCTCCCACTCCCCACTTTGCCTCGCAGAACGTCGACGGCAAGGAGGCCATCAAAATGGTGAAACTCTATATCGTGGGCCAGCATGTCCGGTCGAAGAGGAACTCCAGCAAGACCAACGGTGGCATCCACATGACCGGTGCAGCGCTGAACCAGTGGATGGAGGAGAACAAGCCCCTGTACGGACTGGCGGCCCGCAAGGTGGACACAATTAACAACAAGGTGGCCGCGCTCATCACTGTAATGACGAAGGTTCGCAACCACGAGCGCAGAACCGGCTTCAACGCGCCCTCTGTGTGGCACCTGGACGAGGATGAGCTTGCCGAGAACTTCACCCGCCTGAAAGTTCCCGGCTGCTTCACGCAGGAGGTGCGGTACACTTTTCAATCCGGTTGATATTGGTGCCATGTGCTGCTTAGGTGCCTAAAGTGCCGCCCTGTTCTGGTGCCGCTGTTAACGTTTTGCCACGGTCACCTACCCATAACCCACATGCCACAGGTGTACGAGACTCTGCATGACTTCTCGGAGAACAAGCCCAAGATGAACCCCCGGTGCTTCCACCCCGTCATAGACGCCAACCGTGCAGGCGGCATCCGTGGAGCTGTGGACCAGGCCGACGCCGACAACGACACCGATGGCGACGGTGGCGCTGGTGCCTGCGGCTAAAATGGTCGGCGGCAGCGGCGGCGGCGGCGACGGCGCGGCGGGCGGCAGTGGCGGCGGCGGCGCGGCGGGCGGCAGCGGCGGCAGTGGCGCGGCGGGCAGCTGTGGCGCGTAGGGAAACGACGGTGACGGTGACGATGGCTTGTGGCGGTGCTCCGTGCCCAGCAGCAATCACACCGGCCTGCGCCGCAAGTCGTCGAGCAAGGCCAGCCCCGCGATGGGACTGATGGCTGCCGCCCTGGGCGACCTGACCGACAGCATCAAGTCACACTGCAGCTCAGACGACGCCGACCGCAAGGAAGCATTTGCTCAAGTAAGTTCGCTCATGTACTAGTTTCGCTGTTTTGTGAGTCTGTTTCTTTACCCTTCGTACCCTCCCTCCCTTCCCCTCCATGGTGCAGATCGGCAACCTCACGGAGGCGGTAAGCAAGCTGGCGCAGGCAGCCGACGATGAGGAGGAGCGCAAGCTCAAGATCCACGAGTCGCATCAGCGCATGCTGTTGCGCAAGCTGGAGGCCTATCAGAAGATGTTTGATGTCAACAACGCCACCCAGGAGGAGCTGGACGCGGTGACCGCCGAGGTCAAGGAGTTGATGAACAGGCCCCTCTGAATCATCCTTGACACGTTACATAGGAGAGAGCATCGATTGTACACGATTTACTAGTTGGGCATGACCACGCATCAACCGCATCTGTACTCCTACCACGCGCGCCATTACAACGCATTGTCCATTAGTACAGCATTTAGTGGTATGCATGCGAGATAGCATTGATTGTACACGAACTACTAGTTGGGCATCACCACGCGCAATGAACGAACAGGATTGGTGCACACAACAACACACTCATCTGTACTCCTACCGTGCGCACCATTACAACGCATTGTCCATTAGTACAGCATTGAGTGGTATGCATGCGAGATAGCATTGATTGTACACGAACTACTAGTTGGGCATCACCACGCGAAATGAACGAAGAGGATTGGCGCACACAACAACACACTCATCGATTCCGACAATCCCTTCTCGATCCGTGTAACGGGAAGGAAGACCATTACTCATTGCCCGCCATCATCATCACCGCCCCCACGTTCCGCATCTGCTGCATGGCACGCCGCTGCTGGATCCGCGTCAGCCCCTGTCGTGCCGCACCCATGACATCGTGGTTGGCGTGCAGAATGCCAGCCAGCCGGGTTCACTCCTCCTCACCGGTCCGGGTGTTGGGCGCGGCCACACGGACCATGGTGTGGTCGACGATGGCACGGACGCGGCAGTCCATGGTACTGAGAATCTCCTTTTCAACGCAGTCGTTGTGCCGTTTGAGCCAGTTGTGCAGCAGGAACATGGCCATAATCAGCTTGGCTGACGTGGGGAGACTGTGCTTCAGCTCGCTGTTAAGGATCTGGAAGCGGCCCTTCAGCACCCCAAATGCACGCTCTACACAATTCCGCGCCCCTCTTAGCAGCCGGTTGTACGTCATGCACTCCTCCGACCCCCGCACTGCAGCCTCGGTGTACGGGGTCATAAGGAAGTGGTGCAATCCGTAGCCGGAATCGCCAATCAGGTACGGTGTGGTGCGCAGGATGGACTGGTCGCTCGACCCGGTGCCCCATTCCGTCTCACAAGTGAAAAATGAACCCTCCACACCCTCCTGAAACACCGCACTCTCCGCCAGCACACGGGAATCGTGCACGGAGCCCGGGTACACACACACCACGTCCCAAAAGTAACCGCGCCTATCACATATGGCCTGCACGTTCAAGGTGAATCACCCCTTCCACACACAAAAGTAATCTTCGTAAAACTCTACGCCGGCCGGGCGGGAGATGGGAATGTGTGTGCAATTGATCGCACCCACGCACCCAGGCATACCGTCAACGGCAAACTCCTCCATGATCTCCAGCTTGCGCTGGGGATCGGGGTATCCACACTCGCCAGCGAAGGCCTCCAGCACAGCGTCGGCAAAACGACGGATGATCCGGGTGAGGGACTCGCGAGCGATGGCAAATGTGTTGTCCAGTACACGGTAGTTACTACCTTGCGCAAGGTGGTACAAGGCCATGCAGACCTGCTGCTCCACGGGGATGGCCTGTCGCATGTCGGTGTCTTGGCGGGCCAACTTTGGCCGAAGCGCGTCGCACAGACGCTCAAAGTTAGAACACTCCATGCGAAAATTGGCTCGAAACGTCTCCTCACGCCAGTGCTGCATCGCGTACAACTGGTAGAGGTCCGTTGGGCAGGGTTCGACCCGCCATGGGGACCGATAGACACGGAAGGAGCAGGGGTGTGCGTCTATAATCTCCGCCATCCTCCCAATGGCGCTACCAGCCGCTGTAATTAAGGCAGCGTCGCTGTCTGCTAGCTCGGTGCCGTCTGGCGCGCAAAATAGCAATAAGTTTATGATAATGGGCAACAGCCCAGCGACAATTTGCAGGACAACTGCCGTCTTCATTTCTCTTTAATGTTCTGAAAGAGAACCAGGCCGCTCCTAACAACTGGGAAGCGTAAGCTGACTTTACTGTCCGATATACTTGCGTAGGCACAGAGGATCGGAGTTTCAATCTCAACTTAGACTTACAATGTTCATAAAATGGTCCGCTTAAATAGTCATATTAGCGCGCCATAACCTCACACGTAGCACCACAAGATCAAGCTCCACTAGCTCCGAAGTTACGACATGGTCTCAGAAGCGCACACTAACGAACTGCAAAACATTACACACTCCCCTCCTTAAAAACAAGCACCGTCCTCGGTGCGAAAACGTCACTAAGCGGCCATAGTCGTGCGCCTCTCCGATTCCCTGAACGAAATCGGTACCAGGCTAACGAGGGGAAGGCAAAAGGGAACCGGAGTCAAGGCAAAACCTTCCCCGCACTGGATACCGGCCTAAACTGTGGCGCACGACTCCTACCATATCCGGCTGAAGAATCCGGAGACACACAAAAGCTGCTACAAAAACGACTTAAATCTGACTACACGGAACCCAAATACCCAGACGCGAACAAACACGTGAAATGCAATACCACACTGACGTTGAACTGACTGGTGTAATCTACTGGCAGCCGTAGCTTAATTGGTAAAGCACCACCTTAACCGGTGGGAGATGTGGGTTCGAATCCCACCGGCGTCACCATGGGTTGTGAGACTTGTTCGTTGATAATGTATCAGCCTCTGAGGCTCTCCTCAGGGCAACCCGTGGTGTATGTGATGACAAGTCCGTCACCAGAAGGCTAGGCGCCGAGGAGGAGGAGGAATGGATGCACAAGGTCAATGGAGCAGTCCAAGCAAAGTACCTATCAAGAAGCTGCTGTAGCATGTCTAGGCCGAACCTCGCACGAGCCTTAGATGGTGACCTCTACGAGGGGTGCGGAATCCCCCAGCGGGTGAAGCGGGTCGTAGGGGGTTAACTAAACTCCGCCAGGACAAAGCGCAGGGTGCTGTGTAGAGTGCAGTAGTGTAAGGGTAGGGAGGCGGTGCGACATGCACGTGGCCTGAAGTTGTAACAGGAGCACCAGACTCTGGCAGGTTGCGATAACTGGTCGTGTCCCACAGCGACAGTGTGGCGTCCTCACCAACGATAGGTGGAACTCTAGGGTGGAAAAAGGCCCGTAGAGGTGACGCAGTGGGAATATAGCATATAGGACTGACTAGGTGCAGACCCCAGAGCGTTCCCCCCTTAACACACGCCAGGTTGAGCGGACACCGGTGCAACAATAATAATAATAATAATAATAATAATAATAATCTACTGGCAGGAACAGAACGAAGACGCACAAACATACCGAATACACATGATGACACACACACACACATCCAGCCGCAGCTCTATTCTGTTAAGAACTGTACGATCCTTGGGGCATCCTCCGGGAACTTGGCTCTGAACCACGCATAGCGATCTGATAGCCTGAACGCGGTCCAGCTTGGGCTCCTCAGGAAGGCACGAAGCGCTGGCAGGTTGTGCACGTTGTCGTATGGTTCCCATGAGGGGTCGTGTTTACTACTTGCAGACCACTGTACGAGGAACATGACTGACGGGCGTGCACGCTTGTTATACCCTAGGCGAACAGCTGTAACAACGGTATCTGCACTGTCATATGGGGATTCTAGTGCAGTAGGAGCTGCAGGTGGAGGTGGTGGGCGGCCGGGGAAGAGCGCTGGGTCGTTGTCCGTCCATGGGAGAAGGCGGCTGATGTGGAATACTGGATGCAAGCGGCCGAGGGAGGCTGGAAGGTGAAGGCGGTATGCAACTGGAGAAATGACGGAGGAGATGAGGAAAGGGCCGAGGTAGCGAGGGCGGAGTTTTGGGGAGGGGTAGGTCGGCAGGGTGAGGTGTTCTGTGGACAGTCGGACGCGATCGCCAACTTTGAAGGTGATGGCGCGGCGATGCTGGTTAGCTGCGGCGGCGTAGCGGGTTTTGGCGGCTTGGATTTCGCGGTTGATGGTGGCATGGATGTCACTCATACGCTGCTGTAGTTCTGTAGCCCTCAGGTGAGAGGAAGGTGAAGCGGCTTGGGGGCCGTGGAGAGAGATGGGAGTGCGCGGGTGGTAACCGTGATTGGTGTAGAATGGTGTCATGCCGGTGCTTGCGTGGGTGGCGTTGTTGTATGCTGCTTCGGCGATCGGAAGGTATGATGCCCAGTTGTCCTGCATAGGTTGGATGTAAGCGCGGAGGATCTGTTCAATAGTGCAATGTGTTCTCTCGGTTTGACCGTCAGTTTGTGGATGATAGGCGGAGGAGATGTTAAGGGACGTGCCAAGGTGCTCCCAGAAGGTGCGCCAGACGTCGGACATGAAGCGGGAATCTCGGTCGGAGACGAGGGTTGTTGGAAGACCGTGTAGATAGTAGACGTGGGTGAGGAAGAGTAGGGCGGTGTCGTGGGTGGTGGTGGTCTTGTTAGTGAGTGCGAAGTGGGCTTGCTTGGTGAACATATCGACGAAGGTGAGGATTGCGGTGTAGGTGCGGCCATCCAAACCTTTAGAGGGCGGCAGGTCGGTGATGAAGTCCAGAGACACGTGCGTCCAGGGTTGGGTGGGAGTAGGTAGCAGGTGGAGGAGGCCAGGCGGAGGCTGGGTGGATGGTTTGGTGCGTTGACAGATGGGGCAGGACTTGACGTAGGCTTTGACGGTGCGGGCCATGTAAGGCCACCAGTAGCGGGTTGATATCGCGGCGAGGGTGCGACGGAAACCAGGATGACCAGAGTAAGCAGCATCGTGGAATTCGTGAAGTAGGCGGCGGTGTAAGGATGGGACGTTAGGGATGGCGATGCGGTTGGCGAAGTAGAAGAAACCGTCTGGGGAACGAGGTAAGGCTTGGTGGTTGTTGAATTGGAGTACATGGGGTCGGCGGTGTATCCGAAACGGATGTCATCTGCGAGGCTGGGGTCTGGCACGACATGGGCTGCGATGGTGAAACAGGCATGATGAAGGGCATGGTTGGCTGCGACATCGACGGGTTGTGAAGTGGAGGGCCAAAGCGGGGGAGGTGATGGAGATGTAATGGAGGTTAGGTTTTCTGCTGATGTAGTGGGAAGTGAGGGGCTGGGGTCAGAGGGCTCTGGGTTAGGGGCTGGGCTGACCGGGAAGCGGGAGAGGGCGTCGGCCATGTTTTGAGGGCCGGGGCGATAAGTGATTGTGATGTAGCCTTGGAATGGGGCGAGGAGCTGAGCCCAACGGGCTTGACGACGAGACAGGTCCTTTTGTGTGAAGAAGCGTTGCAAGGTGTCGTGGTCTGTGCAGAGCGTGAAGGGGCAGCCTTCGAGATAGCACCGAAACTTGCGCACTGCGTGTACGACAGCAAGCATCTCCAGCTCGTGGATGGGGTAGTTGGCTTCATGACGGCTGAGCTTGCGGGACTCGAACGCCACGGGATGTAGGGCGCCGTTGCGTTCTTGAAGGAGCACAGCGCCAATGCCGAGGATGGAGGCGTCGGTATAAAAGGTGAAGGTGGCGTTGGTGCCGGTGTCTGGGATGATGAGGGCTGGGGCTGACATTAGGGCGTCGTGGAGGGCATGGAAGGCGGCGAGGGCGTCGGCGGGTAAGGTCTTGGGGAAGGGCTGGGTTGTTTTGGTGAGGGTGGTAAGAGGAAGGGCGATGCGGGCGTAGTCTTTAATGAAGCGGCGGTAGAACCCAGTGAAGCCTAGGAAGGCGCGAACGTCGGTGATGGAGGAAGGAATGGGGAAATTGGCAAGGGCGGTGAGCTTGTCAGGGTCTGTCGTGATGCCGTCGCGGGAGATGATGAATCCGCAGAACTTGGTGGAGGGTTGCGCGAAAGAGCACTTGGAAAGGCGGACATGGAGGTGGTGGTCGTGAAGTGTGCGTAGAACGGCTTCCACGTCGCGGCAATGGTCTTCAAAGGTGCGGGAGTAGATGAGGACGTCGTCGAGGTACACAACCGCACACTTGTTGCGGAAGGGGCGGAGGACGTCGTTCATGAGGGACATGAAGGTGGCGGGGGCTCCTGTAAGGCCGAAGGGAAGAACAAGCCATTCGTATAGACCATACTTACACCGAAAAGCCGTTTTATGCACATCGGGTTCGTGCACACGGACTTGATGGTAGCCTGACCAGAGGTCCAGCTTGGTGAAATAGGCTGCACCGTGCAGCTGGTCAAGGAGCTCGTCCACGCGCGGCAGGGGATACGCATTCTTGACTGTGAGCTGGTTGATTGCACGAAAGTCCACACAGAGGCGTAGACCGTTACCACCCGGTTTACGGGCGAACAGAATAGGGGCACCAAAGGGTGACGTCGACGGGCGAATCCAGCCACGGTCAAGGTAGTTCTTGAGCTGCTTGTCCAGTTCTTGAAGTTCTGCTGGGGACATGCGATACTCGCGCTGCTTAGGAGGCTGGGCGTCAGGGACCAACTCGATGTGGTGGTCGCATGGGCGTGATGGTGGTAGACCCGATGGTTCTTCGAAGATGGTCGCGTAGCGCTGGAGGACAGGCTGAAGGGCTGGTGGTACGGACGGGGAGGCGGTGGGTTGAGGGGGGGCTTCAGGGTCGACTTCGGGATCTTCGATGG